CCGGTCCGGCGGAGGAGGTCGGAGTAGACGAGACGGAGACCCTGGAGGAGGTAGTGGCAGGTGGTCGCACTGTCGTGGCTCGGCCGCCGAAACTGTCGGAGGACTGAGAAATCGAGGGGACAGGAGGAGTTGGCGTTGACTCTGTTCTGGGCGGAGACAAAAGCGGCTCCGGTGGCTAGAAAGAAGGCTAGGTAGACGGCGGCGGTCCGAAGGAGAGACATCGGTGGTTCGCCGGAGAAAACCAGTAGATGGAAACAGGAAGAATAAGAAGGGAGAGAAGAGGTTGACGGGAAGTAACAAACTTCGCGGAAGGTCACCAGGAGACGGAGGAAGTCGTGTAGTCGTCTTCTTGCATTCTTTGGAATTCTTCGATTTTTTTAGTTTTTTTTACATTAGTTTGTCGTTTGACAATAATCTTTTACTAAATTCAATTAATTAGTTATGCAAATTAGCGAATAATTCCTATCAATATTTATAAGATTATCAAAAGATGTTGAGAAATCACACGAGGCGTTATTAGAGATTGGTAGTATTACTTTTACCTAAAGAAATGTCTGACTTTTGACTTTTTTTGACATTTGCATTGCAAATTGCATTAAATTAAACGTAATAAGAATAATAATGGGTGTCCTTAATCACAATTAACTGGGAAGCACTCATCAATCATCATGGGATGGGAGGAGGAACTCGTCACGTTCACGTGTTGGTTGCTCCAAAGAATATGATTTTCCTCTTTAACGATTCCACCTGTGGTAAGCCCAATAAAACCCATCATAAACGAAAGCCCATATAAAGGCCCATTATAATTCCACACCTTTTTACAAAAGGCCCGGTCCATTTTAATGTCGAAGAGGCAGAATAAAGGTTTATATGTTATGAATTCGGAGAGATATAAACGACCCGGATATTAGATCGTTTAACTATAACCGAAAAGAGTATTTTGGGAGAATGGAGAAAGATGTATTTCTTATTGATTTCTCTCTTGAAAGTGTACAAATGAAAGAATCCAAATGACCTATTTATAGAAATCCCGAAGTTACTGTTCACGTATACGGTCGGTGTGAACAGTACCGTATATATGAACAGTAAGTCGGTGTGAACAGTAACGGTGGGCTCCACCATAAATATATTTTATTTATAACACTCCCCCTTGGAGCCACCGTTAGTAAAAACACAGTTGCGTGTTTCGGTGCTGCCTCGTTAAAACCTTTATCAGTAAAACCCAATGGGATAAAACCTGATAAAGGAAAAAGAGTACAGCTATACGCTCCCCCTGAACAAGAGATCAAAGATCCCGTAAATGACGCATTCCAATATTATGTACATGCTTCTTGAACACCATCGTCGGGAGAGCCTTGGTGAACATGTCTGCTGCATTGTCACATGATCGTACATATCTGACTTCAATCTCCTTATTCTTTTCAAGCTCTTGGGTATATGCGAAGAACTTCGGAGGAATATGTTTTGTTCTATCACTTTTGATGAAACCTTCCTTAGTTTGTGCAACACACGCAGCATTATCTTCAAACAATGTTGTTGGCGTTGTGTCAATAGGTATTCCGCAAGCCTTTTGAATATGTTGAGATAATGATCTCAACCATACTGATTCTCGGCTCGCCTCATGTAATGCTATGACCTCGGCATGATTAGCTGATGTAGCGACTAGGGTCTGCTTTTGAGAACGCCAGGCTAGCGCAGTTCCATTGATTGTGAAGACATAGCCTGTTTGTGACCTGCCTTTATGTGGGTCTGATAAATATCCTGCATCTGCAAAACCAACAATTTCTTGTTTTGTGCTTTTAGGATAAAACAACCCAAGATCAATAGTTCCTTGAAGATAACGAAATATATGTTTAACCCCATTCCAATGTCTTCGTGTTGGGGCAGAACTGTATCTTGCTAATAGATTGGTAGCAAATGATATATCCGGTCTAGTACAATTTGCAAGATACATAAGAGCTCCTATTGCGCTTAGATACGGTACTTCAGGACCAAGTATCTCTTCATTACCTTCGCGAGGACGAAATGGATCCTTTTCAATGTCCAATGTTCTATTAACCATCGGGGTACTAAGTGGGTTTGCCTTATCCATATTGAATCGTTTTAGTACCCGTTTTGTATAATTTGATTGATGTAGAAAGATTCCATCTTTCAAATGTTCTATCTGCAGCCCAAGACAATACTTGGTTTGTCCAAGATCTTTCATCTCAAATTCCCCTTTTAAATAAGTGGATGCATCCTGGATTTCGTGGGGAGTACCAATGATATTCAAATCATCGACATATACAGCAATAATCACAAACCCGGACATTGTCTTTTTGATAAATACACATGGTGATATAGGATCATTTGAATATCCATTTTTCAATAAGTGCTCACTCAAGCGTTTATACCACATACGCCCTGATTGTTTTAGCCCATATAATGATCGATGTAACTTGACAGCACATAACTCTCGTGGTTTTGTTTTCAATGCTTCGGGCATTTTAAATCCTTCAGGGACTTTCATATAGATACTCGTGTCAAGTGATCCATATAGATAAGCAGTAACAACATCCATGAGACGCATTTCTAAATTCTTTGTAACTGCAAGACTAATTAGGTATCGGAATGTAATAGCATCCATAACAGGAGAATAAGTTTCTTCGTAATCTATTCCTGGTCTTTGGGAAAAACCTTGTGCGACAAGACGAGCTTTGTATCTTACAATTTCGTTGTGCTCATTTCTTTTCCGCACAAACACCCATTTACATCCAACAGGAGAAACTTCTTTCGGTTTAATAACAATATGTCCGAATACCTTTCGCTTATTAAGCGAATCTAA